ATTGGACACCACAAAAGCCTGTTATTAATTAATCATCGCTTTGATAAAATTTTAAAGATAAACTCCTTTTGAAAAAAAACATCTTTAATCACATATTATTACAAGCTCAAAATTTAACAACTCTTTTTTTCTACTTTCTCGCACGGTGCTCTTGACATTTTTGTATTAGCAGTTTACAGGACTAATTTCTCACGCGATGCATTCGACATTTCTGTATTAGCAGTATACCGGACGCGTATCTCGTATGAAAGCCCTTGTAATGTTCATAGCTCATTGATATAATCCGTAGGTCTGAAACTCGATTCATCATGGGAACTTAGAAGTGTTTTTCTACTTGCCATGCACGTGACAAGACGAAAAAATATAACATAACTGTTAACCTCCTCCCACCAGAAAAGGGACCCAATAATTTATGAAGCAGCGCGCGCAAATGATGCTTACTTTCCAGTTACGTACGTATGACAAATCAATTGTCCCATTAGAGTGCATTTCGATTGAGCGTTACACAAGGTGATTAGAACAGCCAATCAAGAGAAAGGAAAATATCACAAGAAGCCTTTTACAACTTAAAGTAAAAACAAGCAAACTTCCTAAAGCGCGGGAAAACGCGAGTCACTAAATCGTGTTTTTTATTAGCTTTGAATCTGATTGGTCGAGAAAGTGACGCGAGTTTTCTGAACCAATCACGCAGCATAGTGCACCAACACCACAGAAATCCCGGATTACTCTTGAAACCCAACTATAAAAATTACTCTTGTGTTCAAATCGGGCAACTGATGACCACTCATTTTGGAAAGATTTATCATGGTTTTAGATTAGTAAGGTAATCACTCTTGAGTTATCAGTTAGATACCGCCACCGTTTTAAGATATAAGCAACAACAACGACGACTATATGATGTGAAGGGGGGGGGGAGGGGGAAGGAGCGCAGAAGAATATGTGGCGGGAGGGGTACAACAGACAGGAGGTGCCTTCTACCCCTCCTCCTATAATAGGCTGTATAAGTACAATCAATAATTATTTCTCCGTCATGGGGCAAGAAATAAGCGTTTGATTAAAGAAGTACGTTCAGGCACGGCATTCGTGGAAAGCAGCTTTAGTTAGGTTTGTGCTTTAGTATAGTTTTTATAGTATCTTATCCATTGAATGCATGTTTATATATTTGAGTGTTTTTATGGCTTATGAATTTTCCGTGGTTAAATAAAGATTATCTATCTATCTATCTATCTATCTATCTATCTATCTAAATAGTTATAGTTCTCACTAGAGCTGCCCCCGCCCTACAGTACCATTTTCTTTTTTTTTTTTTGAGTTGGGCTTGTTGTTTACAGTTGTGTAGTTATGACCATTTGCGGGAAAAACGTTGATACCTTGCGGCCGTGCAAGCGATCAAATCGAGATTTTTTTTGGTTACGATCAACCGAAAACACCTACATTCTCTCTTCTCCAGTCTTCCTCTATACTAGGACAAATCTCGTGTCAAAGACGCCGATCCTAAAAGTCCTCGCGCGCGTGTCTTTTTACTGGCAGCCCATGACCATTTGCGGGAAAAACGTTGATACCTTGCGGCCGTGCAAGCGATCAAATCGAGATTTTTTCTGGTTATGATCTACCGAAAATACCCACATTCCCTCTTCTCGAGTCTTCCTCTATATTACGCGGGGAGTCCTAAGGTGCCTCCGGTGCAGGGTTTTTGGCCCTCTGGGACCAAAAACCCTGCGGGGGCAATAATAAATCCTCTTTTGCGGATTCTCCCCCAGTAGAAATCATATGCGGAGTTTTATTCGCTTTCCACCATTAACAATGAGGCAACTCGCGAGGTATCTGAAACATTATTTCTGGGAGAACAGGTTCTGCCTTAGATCTAAAATAACTGTAGAGGGACGTGTAACCTTTGAATAACAAAATAGCAAAATCATAAGAACACATAGTGAAAAAAAGGAGAGGCTCATGGGTAAGACCCTGAGATTTCTCTCTCAAAAACGTAACCTTTTCGGAGACGTTCTCATGAAGGGTAACCTCGACCTGATATTCGGAGTCAAACTAATATAACGATGAAAGTGCAGAAGATTAGTTCAAGCTGTCAATAAAATGACTTCTAAAAATAGATTCAGTGAAATTGGCGTATATCAGTGAAAGCCTTTATTATCACACTTTTCCCCATCTTCTCTCTGTAACCCGGCGGTCAAACGCACTGAGGCTTACGCAAATGACTCCATTTTTGCTAGCTGCGCTCGAATTTTCCGTGCAAAGTAAGGGAAGGTTTAAGAAAAAACCCGCTGTTACGCAAAAATTACGAAAAAAAAATTGAAACGTTCACAGAAATCTGTGAAAGGAAATGGAAGGGAATGGAAATCTTGAGACTTAGCCAACAAAAATCTAAAGGTATTCTCATGGCTTTTTGTGGTTGTTCATAGCTCCGGCGGGGAAATTGATTTTGACAATATGAAAGCACTCTTTTACGCTGTATCTTTAACGTTTCAGCTTTGACAAATGCGCAGACGTTTGAGGACTGTGCTTAATTTGCGTAGACGTTTGAGCGCTGTGTTTAATTGGCACAGAGGTTTGAGTGTTGTGTTTAATTTGCGTAGACGTTTGAATGCTGTGTTTCGTTTGAGGGAGTTCTTGGCCTCTTTGCGGGTTCGCCTCTTAGAGTTGTCTCTGAGCTCATTAACCGTTAAACTCCCATGAGTGACCAAGACAGAATTTCTCCTTACAATATTAATGTTATATCGAGCAGGAAAGTGATGAGAATAAAAAAAAAGTATCAATTAGGGGATTATTAGTTGATCAAATACCACATTCCCTCAACTAACGTCACAATAATTGTATGGCAGACAGTAAGGAGAATTACTAATGAGATCTTGGCGTTGAAAGGTAAGGGATGAGCTGTAGTTGTTATGGAAAATCAGATTAACTCCGCCATCTTAAAAAGAGCCTGAATTCTTCGTTTATGACGTTGTTAGCAAATTTCTTAATTAAATTCAATTGCGCGAGCGTGCTACTTATTCCTGTATTGCACGCTGATGACATGTGTGCGTGCGTTTAAGTTTGGCCGAAATAAATCAATGATAACAACATTTAAACTACCGCTACCGCAAATGATTCGCTCTGACAAAGGGCTACCGCTCGAAACGTCAGCTTTCAAACTCTTAACGGTGGCCAATTTTCGTTATCAACGAAGTTGGTAATACTAAATTACCCTGTTATACTCTCCCACCGACGCAGTACCATAGTTTCTTTAGAAATTAACCCTTTATCACCGCTCTGATGGGTTGATATGTCGGCGTTTCGTCCATCGAGATATAAAGCACTTTGGAAAGCACTTACCCTTGGTCACCTCTTCAAGAAACTATTACCTATCTTTCGTTCTCTCAAAACTTCGAGCCGGCACGCACGTTGACGCACAAAGCAATTGTTAGATAACTTGTGTGGCTCTATAAATTGTGTGACTCTGGAAGTCTTAACAACCCGGAAACGAGTAAAAGCCTCCAAAGCACTTTTATTTTATGTTACAAGAAGTGGGAAAACTAGAAACTCCGCAGAACATAAAATACTTGCCAAGGAGATTGGTTACTTAGCCAGCGGTTTCTTTTTTTTAAAGCAATGCATCGTTGATCTGAAAAATAGCAGGTAATTTAGTGTTAACAACTGAGTTGAAAACGTAAATTAGCCACCGTAAAGGGTAAAAAAGCTGACGTTTCGAGCGTTAGCCCTTCGTCAGAGCGACTAGAGGAATTGTGGGTTGTGTGTGGATTTATATGTAGAAAGTGGAGCTACGCCATAGGTGGGAATATGGTGACGAGAAAACAGGAAAAAATTAGTTGAATGAAAAGCGCTCGTTGATTCCGTGGGGATTAAGGGTGCCGATTTGGAATATAAATTTTTGTTCCAGTGTTTTACGGCTTTCCGAACTGCCTAGATGTAAGGAAAGGCCGCAAACTGCCATATGCTGTTTAGAATGTTTCGTACATTAATATTACAATTTTGGATCGAAGATTTACCGAATTGCGCAAATTTATTTAAGTCAATTGAATTTAGTGATGAATTAATTTTGAATTTTGAGGCTCACGAATTAAAGGTGAGAGATCTTTAACAAACGGTTTTAGCTCAATTCTTTAACCAATATGCGCAGTTGTTTATGACGTGAAAAACATTTCAAACAATCTAATGGGGACAGATATATTCGCTGCGTCGCCAGTTTGACGATCGACGAAAAAAAAAATGTTTACGGTTGCCATCTGCTTTCTTTTGTATTGCTAAAAGCCTTTGTGTAATTCGCAGTTCATCTATTCGAGTTCATCCTTGTTTTTTTGTACAATAACTTATTCAGAAAGCCAACCACAACACAACGAAACTTGTGTGTTACACTGAATGACTTCGAAAGGTATTTTAACCAAACCCTGATATATGAACATAAGCTTCTTCTCTAATTGTGATGCAAGTCGTTTGTATTCTGAAAAGTAATTGGTTAATTGTTTGTTTGGCCGAGTGATGGCAAATTCATACATCTGTGGAGATTGTTAAAAAGGAAAAACTGCATTTAGAAGATAATGCAGTTTTGTTAGCTAAGTTAGCAAAGGATATAATGCACAGGACGAGAAATTGTAGGTTCAATAATTTTTTGACAGACGTCAAAGAAAAGAATGGCAGAGAAGAAACTGAGGTAATATTAGACAGTTTTGCATCAAAAATAAAATTGTTTCAAAGTTCGAATCCAGATCTATAGCTTGGTTTAATTCTGATGCAATAATCTTTGAATTAACATGGATCAGATATCTTTCGTGGCTTTTTTCACGCTTCTTAAATATATTTGTTTGAGATGGTCACGTAGACTATTTTTTTTTTCTGTATATATTTCGCTAATTGATCTATCAGACAGCACAATCAATTTTATGGTCGCACAATTCGCACGTAATGATAAGTTTGGGAATAATTTCCAGAGATAAATATTTAGACCCCGTGAATGAGATAAGCAATAAATATAGGCCTGCCCTCGATCAAACGCGTAAAAAAATTAATGTTTCTTTGTAGACTGTTGTATCTCCTTTTTCATAATCTTCACCTTCTCGTTTCGACGTGTTTGTAACAGGTGCAAGCCAGCATTTTGTGTTTAATTTTCAGCAGCTGAGGAAACATTGGACATCGTTTATCGTAGAGAAAAAATTATTAAAAGCAAGTATCCGGAGCAAATGGGTGAAAACTGTACTCAAACCCTAACCACTGCCTTTACTGGGGTTTTGGTCGCGATAAATGCCGTTTCTGGTATTTTATCAGTAACTGGCAACTCGATTACACTACTGGCGTTGTACAGAACACCTTCCTTGAAGAAGAACACCTCAAACTTTCTTATCGCGTCATTAGCTTTTGCCGATCTAACTATGGGCCTGTTTGCCAACTCGCTGTACGTGGCTCTTTGCGGTTTTGTGTCTCTTCAAGAAGTTCAAGAACTCAAGAACGCCGAAACCGCTGTTTGGTTGTTAACTACGACAGCTTCAACATTTAACCTGTGCTTTGTAGCTGTTGATCGCTACATTGCCATCCTTCACCCTTTACATTACCGAGAGACAATAACTAAAAAGCGAATCTTGTGGGCGGCAATTTGCATGTGGGTTTTTGCCATCTTGTTCTCCACCATAAGCTTTTATCTATCTTACAACGACTTGCCAAAGCTTTGGATAATAGGATCCATTGTGACTTTCTTCCTTCCTTTAACAGTGCTTTGGTTTTGCTATCTTCGCGTTTACAACGTGGCGAAGGCGCAGAATTCTTGGTGGAAAAGGCACCGCACATTTAATTGCCCTGTTCGAGCTGCCGAAGAACTGAAACATAGAAAAGCAGCTGTAACATTTGCTATCATAACAGGCCTTTTTATTGTTTTATTTCTGCCAACACTAGTGGTAAACTTTCTTGCAATACTATTAAGAGGCCGCTGTCACAGGCTTCGTATTAACATAGCGTGGTTCTGGGTTGCAGCAATCTCTTATTCTTCTTCAGCCATAAATCCTTGGATTTACGCCGTTAGAATGACTGATTTTCGACGTGCAATAAAACAGACATTGTGTAGCAAGGGTGTAAACACCTCTCGCTCTGTGTAAACTAATTAAAAGTCATGTTGTCTATGTCAAACATTACGATTTGTAGGAGCTGTATGAGTGAATATTCTTGGCACTAATAACACGGCGTTGACTGTTCGTTGACCTTTTCTGTCCAATTTAGATTTATTCTAAAAAAATTTGAGATTGAACAGCAGTTTCAACACAGAAGACCTCGAGACAGATGAGTTTCGTCAGGCCCTTGATAAATGATTAAATTTAAAAAAACGATAGTGAGCCAGTAGCTAAAATCAGTCATATAATCATGAACTTTTGTGCACGTATAAACATCAACATCAGAGTTTAAGTTATTTCCTGATTGGATTCTTCAACCTTGGTCGATAAAGTTGAATTTCAACTCAAGCAGCTTTTAATCGCTTTTTCCTTCAAAAATCACGCACTTGACCTAAATTCAGGCGACAGTCGGCCTCGTGTAAATTGTTTAAAATGGCCTTTCCTCACCTAGCAATTTTCAATTGAGTGTCGAAAGGAACATAAAAGGGTTGCATTTACGTGGCTTTGCGCTGTGATTGGTCCAGAGAACTCCTGCCATTTTCTCAACCAATCAGATACAAAACCTTATAGCAGCCGCGCTTTGGTCTCTCGCGTTTCCCGCGGTGAGTCCTCATTTCTTTGTGCTCTTTGAGTTGCTGCTGCTTGGTTCCATGTGAGTTTTACCTCAGTTCCCCAGGAAAAACTATTTCAACCCGGCGGGATGTATATAACAATGATAATTTCTAGGCGCCTAGCACAGTTAAATTTTACTCCATATCCTTCCTTGGCACGTATTCAGTAAGCATTTTAGAATTTATTCGGGAAATAACACATCGCAAATTTAAAATGAATAATTTTTTCTAATTAGTAACATATTGTCAAAGGATAACTTACTTTGTTAAATTCTTAATATTATCATTGTGCTTTTTCATTAAAAATTAAAGTTGTTTCAAACTTTGACACCGGTCAAGACAAAAACAGAAGTAAAGTTTCGTTAAAATCGGTTTTTTATTCTCAAATTTACAACAACAGTTGTTGACGCTACTGTACAAGGTTTTATGTTCTAGTCAGAATTATTTCTTTTTCTTTTTTCCTCCTTTTTTCCCAGATTTCTTTCCTTTTTTTCCCTTCTTCTTCTTTTTCTTACTGTAAGGTCCCAATTGTTTACGTACCATTGTTCCCCTCCACCAGGACTGTATCTGAAAAAATAATAATAACAATTAAGAAAACCCTTTATAGTTTATGTAATTTCATTTTAGGACATAGCATGTAAATACGTGTAATTAATTTTCATTTCATCACGTGCGTCAACCTTTATCCATCAACCTCGTTTCCAAAGTTTGTCTCAAGATTCTTATTCCTTTTTCGAGGAAAGGAAAGAAAAATGGAATAATGTGGTCGATATTCCCATGTGCATGTTTATGGCGTGTGTATGACGTGTATGCGACGTGTATGCATTCAAGCGTGGAAAAGACAATATCTCTTATTAGTATAATTGCTCTGAGCCCAGTTGTATAAAAGGCGGATAACGCTACCCAACGGATAAAACGCTATCCGGCAGATAAGTGATAGCTAAACATATAGCGTTATCCACCGGATAGAGTTTTATTCAGTGGAAAGCGTTATCCAACCTTCAAACAACCGGGGCCTGATGATTATGGAGATGCGCGCGATATGATGACTGGTCGCATCTCACTGTAATCACTCCCTGCGAGCTGATTAGGGCAGACGCATTTTTTTTCATATTGATCAGGCCGTTATTTGCTTCGTGTTAAACCCGAACAAGTCATTCGTCGAGAGAGGAAACGTACGTTGACGCAACTGTTTCACATTCTCTCGTTTCGTTCAGGTCTTCCTTCTGTCATGTACAGTTTTCAGATTAACCACGTGATATACGCGCTAGACTGTGTCTCCATACTTTCAAGCGTGAAAAGTTGATGTAATTGCTAAGTTCAACGCCAGAACGTTGTTTAAAATTCATAGAAAAACTTCTCGTAACTGTTCGTAAAATATTTTGAAGACGCGTTGGCGTTGCTTCGCGTCATCGTCAAGTCATGAAAAGAAATAAAATTAAATTTACGATTTAGCTCTAAATTATTAAACATAATATATAAATAACGGGGTTGAAAATGTAAAAAAGCAACTGATACAATCATCGCCTGTGAATTCAATGAGTTGTGAACCGACTAAGAGGTGTGAAGAGCGCTCACAAAGCTTGAGTTGCACTTCGCAGGCTTAGCTATGCCTCAAGTAGCTCTCACTCATCTTTTGTGCTTTCCAAACTTTCCGCGTGCTTCATAAATCGATGAATGAAAAAAAATTCATTCACGAAAAAAAGAGTCTAGAGCCTAAACTCCATGGAGAAAAGGTGTATTAAACTTCTTAAATGAATCACAACACTTGGTTAAAATAAAAACTTCAAAACCTCTTGAAATTCCAAACAAAGGAGTAACTAATTTGCGCGAACGAAAGCTCAAAAAAACAACTGATTAAACTCCGTTAACGACAAACAACAAAAGTACGCGAAAAATGTCCACGTCAGTTTTCCAATATCAAGGTTAGAGTTCTTCGTCATGATTACATGGCTAATGGCATGTCGACGCAAGAACAAAAGTTAATCGCTCTTAGGCCTTCGGGCGCCGGGCTGAATTTCATCAGATCACATGTAGAATAGGTAGCATGAGTCCAAATATCGGTCGATATAAAGCTGTTGCGAGAAACCTTGTCGAAAAAAAAGCGGAAAAGTGCACGCGACAAAGGCTTTGTGGGTAGTTTTAAGGTCACAGATCCTCGACCGCAGGATTTCAAGGAAATCTGAGAAAACGTTACTGTAAGGGCGAGATATGGATTTCATGTAATTTTTATTTATTTGAATGATTAAAACTCATTGATCACTGAATGCTTAGAGTACCTCTCGCGATTGTCGAGTGCGCTTTTGTCTATTTTTTTTCCTGAAAACCTTTCACGGAACAGCTGTATACGTCTACATCGGACGAAATTCGATCGATATTTCGGTCGATAACTAGTCGGTAAAAGGTTGAAAGTCGGTTAGTGGTTTTCCGATGGACGGGTGATGGTCAGCCGATGTCTTCATCGAAATATCGGCCGACTATCTGCCGACTTTCCGTCAAATATCGACAGAGGACTGACCGACACTTCGACCGACTATCGATCGGTGTATCGACAAAGCCTACCATAAATACACATGATCCCAAATTCAAGGATTTTCTTCGCGTGGTTTTAACACCTTACAGACTGCCAACCCCTTTTCCGAAATTTAACTCACTTTTAGCACTTATTTCATCTCAGTTACAGTCCGGCACTTTCATTTGCATGTTAAAACCGGTCCATACTTGTCTCATACCAAATATAGCTGTATTTACTGACCTTGGTGGCGGATTTGAGTTCTTCCAGCTCTTGCTCTGCTTGCCGTCTTGCTTGTTCTTTAGCCACACGGTCTTCGATCACAACTTTCTCATATTCGGAATACTGTAAGTAAAAATATTGTCCGTTCACTATTTTGACCAATTCTCAGCTATCAGATTCATAAATCCCACGCAGGAACTGAACCGCGAAACCTCCATGGATTAATCAGAAAATTTCCCAAAAAGTTAACAGGAATAGAGGAAGGGAGTGATGGAATTTTGGGTCATAATTTTGGGTCAGCCACTCTCCGAGTTAAAAACGAAAAAAGGTGAGTTTAGGATAAATCTAGGAACTAGCTTGATGTTAGTCCACGACTGGTCTGTTTCTGCGCCTTGGGGAGCTCTAGGAGTGACGTCGATGCGCCGCGGAAGCTCCATGAGTGAGGCACTCACCGAAGAGGAAAGACTGTTCGTAGTCTAAATTCTCAAAGCTTAGATGATGAGAAATGTATGGTTAGCAGTGTAAAGAATTTGTTCTTAAATCTTAAGGGTGAAAGGGGCCAGGATAAAAGATAACCCTTAAGAGTGATACGCATTTAATTTCTCCAATAGTATCACCCCCGGATCAAACATTAAGGTTATGATAATAGGGGAAATGATCGCCAACTCAAGAAGCTCTTGATTGGTAGACAAATTCTCCTTGAAGTTCAATAGGAAATATAGGTAGAACAGTAAGGAGAATATGCATACTGATGTTAGTGTAAAGGGTTGATTCTCATAGCACAGGTAGAAAAGTGTTATTCGAGGGTTTGTACCATCCGCCGTATATGACTCCAGATGGGATGAGGGGGAGGGGAGGGGAGAGAGAAGGGAAGCGTTGGACACTTCGCGGAAGTCATCAATATACTCTGATGATCAATTTCGATTGGGTTTTTGGAACGTAATTCGGTGGAAATCACAAAAGAACTTGGCAGAACTACCCTCACACGGACAGAAAATCGCAGGATCGAACGATATGATCGAAATTTTTGGCTGTTCTTTAGGGATTCTTGAAAAATGGTGCTTAACACAGAGACAAGCCTAGAAAAGTAATTGACATTTTTACCTTCTGAGTGAGTTCCTGAAGCTTTGCAAGATCATTTGCCTTGGATGCCTACAAGTATGAAATTCAAATTGAGATGTAACATCAAATGATGTCACTAGTCCCAGGTTACCAAAACGGCCAAAAAGAAAATAAGATATAGTACACGTGAGGTGCCTGAAGCGCGGGAAAACGCGAGTGATCAGGTTGTGATTGGTTTTCATTTTGCATTTGATTGGTTACAAGGATGACGTAAGTTCTCTTGACCAATCACAGAGTGTAGAGAAGAAAAACTAAATTCTGAATTACTTTTGACATCCACTTGACAGAATACATTCATTTAGACGCTGTAACCTTCATTACTCTGCTGTGCTTCCTTACTCGCCTTGAAGAAAAACGATTTAGGCTACAAACCTTTAAAACATCCAACTCGTGTTGTTTCTGTTCCACATCCCGATCGTATTTTTCCATCCAGTATTCCACTTTCTCTTCCAGTATCTACGAATAAAAAAGAAAGCTTATCAAACAAAAGTTTTTCTTTTTCTGACGGTTAGCGACCTGGACTTCAGTGTAAAAAAACCATTTACGGCTAGAGTCCAAACTCCGTGGAAAATATGTATTAAATTTTTCAAATGAACCACAACATTTGGCTGAAATAAAAACTCCGAACCTTCTTAAAATTCCAAATAAAGGAGTAACAAATTAACGGGAACAAAAGCTAAAAAACAACAAACTGAAACCCCGCGAAAAAAGAACTAAAAGTACGCGGAAAATGTTTACGTCAGTTTTCCAATGTCAAGGTTAGAGTTCTTTGACGTAATTGGCTAATTTATGAAATCACGCGCGGCGCGCGTGAATATATAAAGAATACAAAGAGGAAGGAGGAAGACAAAAATTGCCACTTGAAATTTAAAAACGGTAGAGATTTTCTACATCCATGTTGAGAGGTCTGGGCTCCAGATGTGGCTGGGTCATTATGGTGCGTTTTGTGCACGACACTTTCCTCTCAGTGGCTCTCTCCACCCAAGAGAATGAGTGGGCACCGGCGAATTGTCAGGGAAGCCTGAGGAAAGGCTGGCGGGGAAAACCGTAGATGAAGCGGCATACCATCCAGGGGAGAGCAGTAATACGCCTTATCACTTCATGCTACTGAAACCCTTCCCTAACATATAGCAACTAACTTCGCTCCGAAGAAGGGGTAACGCTCGAAGCGTCAGCTTTGGACGATGGCCAATTTACATTATCAACTCAGTTGAGAAACCAAATTATCTTGCACTACAAATAGCGGAGCTCGCAAAGCGTAGGTCCATAATCATACAAAATAGTAGTAACCCATCAAGCCGAA